TATTTAAGAAACTATTCAAATATCCCTTAGCTAAGCGTTAACTGATGTCCAATTAAGCAGTAGATAATGAAATATTAAAAAAAACATGGATTACACATGCAGAAAGGAGTAATTAAATCCGATAAATGCACTTGCGGTCACGTTTAACTATCATGCTGACTTGATCAAGAATTCAATGTCATGACTCAAATATTAAACCAAGAAAATGACTATAGACGAAATCATGATTAATTTGAATGATAAAAATATTAGTGGCATCAGATTTCTTTAAAAAAAAGAAAACTGTTTATTATTGAGGGACGAAAATGAATGGGAATAAGTTTTATAAATTACAAAATGAAAAAGAGATTTTCCTGATATTAATAAGAGGGTCAAGCATAGGTATGCTTGAAAATTTAAATTGAATTATGGTTTAAATAAATAAACCCCAAAACTATGAAGGTTAAGCACCTATAGAAAAGTTCACAAATCATGTGAAACCAATATATATAAATTTTTATTGATTCATATTTGTTGCCAACTGATTAATTGAATTCTTTTTTTTTTCAGGGTTAATCTCTCAAGTTTGGCATAGCAACATAACTATTGAGGTAGAATAATAGGAACTGCTTGTAATCATTAATTATATATACATTGGATAATGGGATCTGAAAAACATAGGGAGTTGTAAGGCAATAATTAGAAAAAGTTCAGAAACAGATAAGATGGATAGTGTGATAACTACAGAACTTTTGAAGAGGTTACAAAAGATTTAGATCACTTGACACAATAGGTAAAAATTTAGAGCATTAAGGTTGTAATTGGTTAGAATCAGAAATGGAAGGGTTATGCAATAATCTTACGTAACCCGTTTAATGATCTTATTATTTAATTTTCATTGCATACACTCAACAAATTACTTTTCATTAATTACATAGATAGTGAGAAACATTTATATTTAAATCCAATTTCAATTCCTATTCCTACTCTTATGTAACTAGTTATGACATTTAACTGATTATGATGAAGAACAAATTGAAAAAAAAGATATTCTCTCGCACAACTTGCAATGACGAAAGTAAGATAGTCGAACACCACCTGCAAATCAAACTGTTATAATAGCGCATATCAATGGTCTTGAGTGTTGTTAAAGGTATGTGGGCGGTTGTCACTTCCCGGTTGCCTACATTGTGGAAGGGTTCTTCTTGAGGTACATGAAAAGGAAATCGGGTTACAGTTGGTCTTAGTGACCTGAGAGCGTGACCGCAGTTCCCAAGGAACAACTGCTTGAGGCCGTCCACACACGACCTTTTTCTGTAAGCTCCGTACTTGTTGTGACCCTACAGTTGGAGACGGACATCCGTAGGATAAAGTGAAGTGTGCACTTTTAGGGTCGACCTTTTAAACCCCATCCTTCGTTTGTGGGAAGGCAGCGTCACTGTTATACTGGTTGTTGGAGAAAAACACCTTACTAACGTCACACCTTTGTACAGTCAGCAGTACGAATTCGTCCTCAGACTTTGCGTTTGCTGCTTTTAGTCTTACTGCACTTTTACCATCTTATCTAGCATTGCAGGACCTTGAGGAACAATTATTTCAGCCAGTATATACCCATTGGTTCATTACGAGAGGCAAGCTCGACCACCACCTTAAGATAGCAGCAACGGTTGGGATAGTGAAAAATAATGAACAAAAAGCCGTCCTTTTAGTCTTCATGATCACTTATTTGCTATTATTTAACATTATGTTATATCAGTGCATGTAGATTATAATGAACAAAGGTTCGAATAAAAAAACTGTTTAGGCTTATTGAAGGATGTAATTTATCAACCAATTAGAGAAATCGTTCACAGCTATATTGTGGTGTGGTCTACTTATATCCATATAAGTAGTATATGGCGTGGGTCAGACATAAAATGTATTTTGGCAGAAGACCGATGAAGAAAGAACTGAAATGAAGTGCAATCGTTTGGAAAATGCATGAGCAATGGAATAAAAGAAGAAACAGTGAAGATTGAAACAATTGGTTGTTAATTTGCAAATTGACTGTTCATTGTTTAGTTATCAGAATTTATTGAGATAGTCTGTAATCTTTGCTTAAATACATTCGATTGTCCCCAACCAGTGTTCTGTTCACTACAATATATCTAAGAGTCAAGTTAAAGTGTAAAATGATCAAAATATCTTTTCAGACAGTAAGAGGGCAATTCGTAACAACAACCAAACAAAAGAAACTGTTGATAATCACTTGTTAAGTCTGCGCTATCAATAGACAATGAAATTCTAACAAATAAATCATCCAACTCTCAGTGAATTCATCTTTGCCAAATTCCTTCATAGATAATAATGTATGATGAAAAAACATATTTTTTTCGAATTCACCCATGAACAAATAAAATAAAATTTCAGATTCATTCTTTCAATAGCATCGTATTTATTATGAACACCATAAAAAAAAATTTACAAATACATATACGCACGCACATAACTCTTGTTTACTAATTCAAGTTGTAGACAAGAGAAAAAACAATCAGCAATAATATGAACAACAATAAAAGCTAAAAAAGAGAAATGAAATATCATTTCTGGCATCAAAAAAAAGAGAGTAAAGCTAACATGGTATACCACCACACTTGTTCTTTTATGCTTGTATACCATTAAATGTATACACACACACATACATGCATACATACATATACCATCACATAAACAAAGATGTTCAACAATTAAACTGATAAAACAAAACAGGGAAAGATGATCAATTTCATCAGTACAGTTAGAAAGAAAAAAACACAAACAAAAATTCATTACAAAAAGTAAACAATTAGTGTGCGTGTGTGTGTGTATGTTGTTTTGTTTTCTTAATTAGTATCCCATGGCTTATTATAATCATTTCGATAGCATAAGTGGATTAAAAAAAACAACAAACGCGGTAATAAGTTAAAGACACGTATAATAAATAATGTATACAATTTGATTAGATCATTTTTATTGTTCAACTCTGAGAGATAGACTACTATTATCCTTATTATTATTATTAGTATTATCAACAATATCATAGTAACACTAATAAAACATAAGAGAAAAAAAGACCGATTACTGAATCAAAGAGAAAGAGAAGGGGATACATGTAAATAAGCTTATGTATATCTATGTTAGTACATACATATAGGACCAGACTAAATGATCAAATGTAAATTGAATCATCTTTACAAAAAAAAACAACTTTTGAACAACAATAACAATAGACAGTCAAATATGATATGCAATGGATAAGCGTAATACCTGTTTTTTTTTAAAAAAAAAAGTTCAGAATTATTTACAAATTGGTAACCATTAGAATGTTTTTTTTTTGAAAAAAGAAAAAGAGAAAAGCTACTTTCATGTTCATACATTAAAAAAAGAGGTAGTTGCTATGCAATTAAAATAAAGAGGCAAGAATGTTAAAAAAAGAATAAAAGAAGAAGAAAAATACACTCACACACATATACAAATAATTATAATATAAAAATATACACTATATCATTATCTTTATGTACACAGATTAATCGTTGGAAATACATTAAACATACATAGAAGGGGGGAAATATAGATATATCCAATTCAAAGATAAATATGACAACGAATAAAGTCACATTAAAATACTATGAAAATATTCATTTTTTCGATATAAAACACAGGGTTGTAGGTGTATTACTATCCAAAATCAGATGAAGTAAATTATGAAAAAAAATTCTTTCTGGTTCTTCTTTCTTGCTTCGATCTCTCTCTTTATTTTTTCTGTTTTAGAGTGAATTATTGTACTAAAACACATTCTTACGAATTCGTACGTACACCATTTAGTCATATATATATGTCACTACTCAAACCTCACCCATCTACGTACAATTAACGAAAATGATTTCAGCTATCATCAATATTGAATCTAAAATGTATATAGATCATTGTGATTCACACATGGAAATAAGCAGACTTCATAAAGTAGAAAGAACACAAATCTACAAAATCATTAACATAATTTATCAAATACAGATTAACAGTTTGTTTGTAGTGTTTTTGTAAAATATGATATACTCAGAGATCATCATCATCAACGATGTTGTTGATGCTGAGGATGTTGATAACGTCGTTTCATGTGAGTGAAAATAAGATTCAGATAAATATTGAGTGATTACATCATCCAGATAGATCATTCGTATTATTTCTACCATGGAAACAATTACAAAATATGAGGAATGCTTCTTGGTACAATTCGTTTAAAATTAAACAATCAATCACTATTTGATAAATTAAAAACTAAACATTCTTTTTTGATGATGATGATGATGATGATGATGATGAAGTAAGAGATCATGCATAGTACATCAAAGTATATCGAAGATAGGAGAACAAGAAAGTTCAATATGATCTAACTCACTAAGTAATGATCTGTATGCTCACCTTTGAGCAGTGTTATTTATCTATATAAAGGCTATTGTTGCTATCCCTCAGTTCAAATAGAAAAACAAGTAGGGAGGGACTTGAACCACTGAATTATTCATTGAAATTTTGACATCTTGATCACTAAAACTATAAATGTTCAGCAGCTTATAACAAAAAAAAATCACATATATATTATACAACAGACATATATCTATATTTCTAAATGAATACTAAACCGACTGAATGTGACCAAGACAATATAAAGATGAATAGAACTACAGAAACAAACTAATGACAGATTAAAAAAAGAGACATTGAGATAGCCAGTACAAATGAATGCAGAATAACGATATATAAATATAGATAGATATATTGTAAGTAAATAAGAAGAAACACGTAATGTATACAATAGATAGGCAAGCAGATAAACAATTAGAGATCATTAATAAATAATTAAAAAACAACAATCTTATTCCATGTAAATCTTTATCTGATTGTATTCATATTTTGAATAAGATTCAATCACTGAAACCTCCCTTCTTCTTTCTTTTTCTCATTGGATCCTGTTTACGGGGCGTTAGTTTTAATTAGTATCACTTTTATTGTGTTGAATTTACAGATTGAATAGATAATGACTGTAAGGCACTAATATTATTATTATTATTAATAGTTGTAGTATTACTATTAGTATTGTTATTGACATTATGTTGAAGATGATTCATTAGATCAGTTATAGGAGGATGATAATTAATCTTAGGTGTACTTGTTAAACATTGTACACCGGGTAAGGTAGATAATGCTGAAGATACCCAAATCACTGGACCACTATGTAATTGAACATAATTTTTAACAGATAATAATACATTGTCAAAATTTTCATAGGTTATAATTGCTGAAAGAAGAAAAATAGAACAAACTATTCAATAGTGTTTAACATAGAACAGGTAAATTGTGGTTTAATAGTACAATCTAGAACTAATATTTCACCTTATTTAGAATTTGCTAGCTGTATGTAATAGCACTTCAATTTTGATGTTCACATTGGACTATGAATCTAATGCTTTTCGCTTCAAATATCAATATCACTAGGTTACAAAGACTAAATAGACACTAACTTACTCAATGGATAAAATTGATTATAGTTGAAAGCATGAGTCAATGGGAACTAGAACATCAAAGAAAACTTGAAAGCACTGGACAGCCATTTCGTTCTATTGTGGGACTCCTCAGTAGTGCGCATCCACGATCTCGACTCGCAAGATTCGAACCCATGACCTACCAGTCTCGCGTCAGAGAAGTTAACCGACAGACCACTGAGACCGCATCCGATGGTGTTAATGTCTCACTTCAAACAGTCTAGCTTTAATTGAATCATGCTTTCAACTATGAAAATACTGAAATCTCCACAAAACTCCTTCTGATAAAATTGATTATATCGCGTTGTTGTAATCCAGGATGGAATATTGATCAGTGATTGTTGAATTCATAATCATCATCATTACCTACGGTAACTAATCACTAATATGGTATCATTCGAAACAAACTGTTGGCAAGAACAATACTATTCTAAAATACAAGTAGGAGTGATGATGAGAGTTTGAGTTTAGCACTGATAGCATTCTAACAATCACCTACCATCCAATATAGTCAACGTCACCTCTACTAAGTTTTGAAGTTAAATGGCTAGAAACAGTCGGCAGGGTTAGTTTGTGGTTGAAAAAACAACTAACACCTTCGAATTAATCAGTTAATATAAAAACCTATGGAGTGAAAAATTCTATAAATAAAATTATGAGTCCCAGAGTGAACATCAACTCTGAGATGCAGGTACATCCAGCCGACGAGTCCCAAATAGGAAGAAACGTGCGTCCTGGGTTCCACTGCTAGCCACTATCCATCTTTGCTTACAAAACTATGTTGTTTAGTTATTCAATAAAAAGTAAAAAGAGATGATAATCATTTGAATATAAATCCAACTGATTAACAAACACATACACAGAGTAAAACCTTGATCCAAAATGGTATTATCATTTTAATTTTTATGTAGGTTTCTTTGTACAGATCAATTTTAAATCAATGCAAACTAGCACATAAACACAGAGAAATACAGATTATGCCAAACCGTGTAAAACACAAGCGTTTTAAAAACTTTTTTTTTGCAGATCACAGATTTACTTTTGATCAGATATATATATATATATATATATATATATATATAAATATATATATATATATTACATAATCACTACTTATGGAGTAGTGGCTCAGTGGTCAAGCTGTTCAACTTTTAATCAGTATGTCACAAGTCCGAATCCCACTTTCACATTACCTTAGTCAAGGTAGCTAACTGAGTTGTATCACTGGCCTACACATTTGAGGTTTGGCTCAAAGTCAAGTACAAAATCCTGTAGCTGATCAATGAATTGATAATAATAAAACTCGTAGTAAAAGTAAAATACATTAAGAAGCATGTGACTTCATCGATTTTAAACGTTACAAATAATAATCAATAAAAGTTTTTTTTTATAATAATTTCGATGTTCAATTGAGACCACACGTTAAATTCTATATTTTCCAAAAAAAATAAGAAAATATTCTCTATATATATGCACTAAACGTTCTGCCCGACTGATTACTGATTGATTAATTAACGGAGTAGTTGAATGGTGCAAGATTGACCTCATTACACAAACACAAACATACAGATAACTAACACCGATTTCGATGCATTGAAAAACGTTATGCGTAGACGTAAACATATGACTAGAACAGTCATATAAATCTGATTACGTACATAGGTGTATATGTGTACACTAGTACACAATAAAATAAACTCATTAAATTGGTAAACCTGAAAAGAAGTGTTGAATCACGAATCAGATGATCTTAAGCAAGAAAAATTAATCTCATGAAGTTCGAATGGTTTGATATGATCCGAAATGAATGAGTTGAAATAATATAATACTACAGCTGACCATCAATACTATCTTAATAATTAATTTTCTTTATAGAGAACTCAAGTTGAGAGGATCTCTATTATCCTATTTATATTATTAATATAGAGGGAATTGTGGTCATAGTAGAATTTTAACAGTTGAAATAATAGACTAATTCTAATTAGGACAACATTAAAAACACGGAAGGACTGAACGACTGTTTCGCCCTATGATGAAAGTTATCAGCAATAAGCCTTCACAACCATGCAAGCTCGAATCGAACTCAGTACCCTAACTTCTAAATCACTGAGCTTTTACAATGTTAATGTTTAATTTCAACCAATGCATGATATTGTGCAACTATCATCTAAAATCGGCAGTGGATAACTGTCTCATGCATGACACGAATTAAATTCCATTGCTTATGGCTTCTCACTAGAACTCTACGAGTTATATCTGGAAACCAGTCACTAGTGAGCACATGATTGTCATTAATATGAGGCATTAATAGAGATTGTAGAATTTTTAGTCTACATCAACAACAAGTATGAATTTTATTTACTTTGTAATGGCTCTAAGAACTATGACAATATGGTTATATCGTGGCAATCCATACAGGATGTATGCAAATAAAAAGTGATAAGAAGCCCAGTCAAGAATAATAACAACGTAACAACTAGAAAACTTTAACGAATCCAATTAAATTCATACTCATTACACAAGCTAGTGTCTAACTGAACTTAGCAGCTCAATGGATAATCATTTGGTTGTTTGGAGTAAAAGATACTGAGCTCGAGTATTATTCAATGTAATTAACGTATATACATCGGGTACGGGTTTTCTTAAACAGTTCAGTGAATTAAAGTAGACACTCTATAGGTAAACCTCAAAATTTATCAGAACTTGATCAAAGACAAAATCTCACACTCCTATTCATTAGTGACTGCTATTATTAACTTATTAACAGATATAGATTTATGTACTTGGTTTTGAGGTACACCTTATGTTTGAAAGCTGTTGATAATACGCGGTCGCATAAACCAAAGTAGGTTGATTACAGTCGATTTATAGGTGAAATTATTTAATTGAGTTTCATTTTCACTATTCAATAAGGACGTGCAATCATAATATGACTAAAGAAAATCAGCCCAAATAATAAAACGGAAGTGATTTGAATGGCTGGAATCAGTAGCTAAGTAAATAAATCGGCAGTGTTCGAAGCAAACAGTACTAGTTTCTAGTCGCGTAGTGAACATCAACACTAGAATTCAAGGATATACAGCTGATAACTCGCAGATAGGACGAGACGGGTGTTCTGAATTTCACTACTAGTCACATTTCTATACTAATTGGTGTTATAATGGCTATATCGAGGCGATCTGCACAAAATACACATATGTCAACCAAAATTGATCAATGAGATGATCTAAATCATTTTGAATGGAAACAAGTAAATTCAAGTTGAAACAACTACATTGTTCAACTTATTCAATATATATCCTGTAACATGCCTAAATGTCGTAAATCTAGTATCCTACGAGATACTGAGAGAATCTCGTATTCAACACATTAAAAGCTAGTAATCTTTACGTTTTTAAGTAGCTAATTATATCATCCTATAGTGTAAACATATAATTAACCAGATATAAATGAAATAAAATTATCATTCAACAATGGTGATCTTTGTAATAATAATTACAATGTTACCTGAAAGAAAACGCCAATTCTCATCTTCAATATTCTGTATTTGTTCCATTGATCGTTTTGCTTGATCTTCAGTTAATCGACGTTGTAATGAACGTAAATGTATGACCGATTTCGGTTTCAATAGAATAGTTATAGGAAATAAACCGACCTCCTTGAAATATGAGAAAAAAAAATATTATTAAATAAAGATTTTAGGCTAAATGATACATTACAATTGTTTTTAACTAAACACAAAAATATTAAGATAAACTTCACTTGCAAGAGATTCTGAGTTATCCCGTTATCATCATTCCAGATTGAATTTTGATCAGTCTCAGCTGATATATACGCATCGTTGATCTCACTGTTAGCCGCAATCTATCTCCTCAATTAAAATAAAGTGTTCATTCAAGAACCTGAACACGAATCCTTGACTTCTAGACCACTCAGATGGTATTAAATACTACACAAGTCTAACTTAAATCACTCTAAAACATTGCACAATTATCTTTTACTGTCTTCGGTGACTAATTCCCTCACTTACAACACGGTCCAGAACTACTGGTCACGGTTTCTCAATAAAACAATGTTGCATGCCAACTTGGTGGTCTGAAGGTTAAGCGCCTGAGAGCAAAAATGAAGGTATTAGGTTTCATTCTCGCTGGTGTGTCTGTAAATGCTCACTACTGAGAAGTGTCGTACTACGATGAAATAGTAGTTCATTGCTTCTAGGTTTTCAGTGGTGGTCGGTTCGTGATTTAAAGGAATTCAACAATCGCCACGAACCTATATTCTGTTCTATATATAGAAAAGCCTACAAACAATTAATAAATCTATAGCATAACTTCTGTGTACTGCTTCTGATCGGGTGAAGTTTATAAACAAATTGTAGCATCTATTACCTCCATAAACACAACATGGAACTACAAAATTGACAGAAATTCAGTCGGTATTTTAGATAATTCATATAAAATAAAATATACTCACCAAAAACGGAGACAAAAACTCATACAAATATACATACAGCAGAAGAACAAGACCTACTTCTAAATATTTAGCAGCATCTAAGCCAACATCTAAAATGCATATGCGCCCTGACTGAAGAATCGATCGAACCGATTCTAAACTTGTACCAAAGTAATGATCTTGAAAACGATTAACTTCAATATATTTGCCTTGTTTAATATCTTCTTCCATAATTGATTTCGATGGTATAAAATAATAATCAACACCATTACGTTCATTTGACCGTTGTGGTCTAGTTGTGTCTGTAATAATATCAAAATAAAATAAAAAGAGGGGTATTATTATTACTATTATTATTCACGTACATGAACGAGAAATATTGCAAATCGTCCTAGGCTTTGCGTATTAGCTGTAATAACATACTGAGTTGACAAACAGTAGTCACTACAAACAATCTATAGTAATTATAATCATGTCCTCTCACTGTTAACTAAGTTTAAGGAGTAATTTCTTGAATCCTAATGAGAAGCAATAACCAGTAACAGCTCAACTATTTCAAGTATGAGGCAGTTGCCACATCAATGAAATTGGATCGTGATTGCGAAACATCATGAACTGATTAAAGTTATAAATCATTCAATTTTACATCCAACGTCAACAGATAATTCAAACACCAACACCAACCAACACCAATAGTTCGCTTTCTCTCTGTTTCAGAAGCCAATTAAGATCTTCAACATCTGAATAATAAGAAAGTGATTTAAAGGCTAAGGAAGCAATCAGTATTCAGGGCATACTCATACTTTATAATTGAAATGTATTATCCATTTTCTAAACTGTACTTAAAATAAGAATTATTATTGAGAATAAAATCTCTACAAAAGGTTAGCTTTGCTTCAAAATACTGGTAACACAGAGTACAAACACATTATACAACTATATTTTCTATAAAACCAATCGACTGAGAGTAAAGAAAAAAAAGTGAAACTGATTTAGATTGAACATCATACTTTTTCAACGACGGAGAAGTGTGAAAGAGAGAGATGTGAGAATAATATAAGGTTTATGGTAAGAGAGAAAAGGAAGTTGGTATTTTATTGTGGATATCCAACTATTATGGTTTGACAAATTAAGCACCAAATGTTTCATAAAATTGTATGTCCAACAATCCCTTACATCTATGGGCGGTGTTTGTTGAAACAGAAGGAAGTTAGAAAAAGACTAGGGATAGTTAAAACAACAGTTTGCATCATCCCATGAGGTCACTGACTGATGATCTGAGCCTTCCTAGTCAGTGTAAGCTACATAGTTTGGGTCATTATGATAATCACGACCAGTGTCCGGAGACGTTGAGGAATATGACATACATCAGTCACAATAGCTCTAGAACTTAATTTCCAGTATTCCTTCATACATAGCTTTTCTTTGTCTTTTCTAACCATATTCTCAACCTTAACTATTTCTCATTATCATTGTTACTGTTGTATTTATACTCTTTTATTGTCCATTGTGTTAGCTGCAATTCGTCTTGCTAATGCAAGCTCATGGATATTTATACAGACTTTACGTCAATCATGACGTATGGCATTTCACAAAATTACGCCATGAGCAGTAGAGCTTAAAGTGTAACATTCAATCATTTACAAATGCATATCCTAACCTAATTATAATAAAATTTAAGTAATTACAAAACCAATGATGAAAACTAACAAATACATATTCGAACAACATACAAATACTTACGTAGTATACATGTTGTAAATTGTGAATCATGCAATAATAATTCATCAATAATGCGATCCTTCAATGGTCCGAAAAATATTAAAGGACGTGCCACAGATATTGTGACTGGAACTACAAGATCATAGCTTCGGATAACAGGGTGTCTATCTGTTTTGTAGAAATATAAAAAAAACGGGTAAGTATGAGTAAATAGAATATCTTCAAACTACAATGAATAGTTAGGTCAGTATTAATGATATATATATATATGGATAATGAGCACACTTTCCCGTTTCAATTTAACATTAACTATCTTCGTGACATAGGATGGAAAAGCATCAAACTTATAAAAACAAGAGCATCCCACCTTTAAACAACTAGGTGAGTACTTAGTTCCTATACAATTGGTTGTAAAATTGCCCCTAAATGCCCTGGTACGGCCGAGAGTGGGGAGAGTACGCTCTCCCATTCGAAATGCTCTCACATGGCCACGCGTATATAGCCTCTGTCAGGGAAGTCCTACTCACTGCCTCCTCGTGGCATTACTTTTGTTCACGAAATTGAGAGGACGAAAAGTGAATGTCCGACGCTTTAACCGGGTTAGTTAACACGAAATGTCCACCTAGGGGAGTTGGAAAACCCTCATTCCAAACCAATCGTGCACATGGGCTCCCGTATCATGAAGGAACGAATGGCGTATGAACCAATTGTTGGTCACCGACTACCATGGGACTGCATCTCCTCACAATGCTCCACTGCCTAGTGGATCAGATCTTTAGGTCGAAGACTTCGGGTGTGGCACCCTAAGAAAACTACCTGCTTCAGTTTGTGCACCTCAGCAGTATCACAGTCCTCACAGAAATCTCATTTGATTTGTGTGGCGCATATGTATTTGGTTCTTACTTGTACCAATATTTATGTGTATAAATAAAATAAATAAATAAAAACATCATTCAAAGAAACAAACACACGTACATATATTATTTTGTAGATTATAAATAACAATGAGCAGTTTGTTTTTATGCATTACAAGAGTCTGTTTTTTTCTTATATAACTAAATCTAGACTGATATTTGAGACGGATAATCTTCCAAGTTGAAAAATTTACTTCAAGATCAACCGGTAATCATATATGACTTGCAAACAACGTAGAACTCAAGACTATTTGAACGAGCATAAAATACAGCTTAGGTATAATCACATATACTCATAACATCTAAATTTAATTCAATAATGTTAACAGTGTGCTGAAGTACTTTTGCATTCGGTTTATTACAATTTTAAAATAAGTGTAGTGGCTAAGTAAAGAGGTTTATAAATCTCAAAAGTTTTATCTACAACGAACTATATTTTTCTAAAGAACCACCGGTGAACAGACAACACTACAAATCAATTATAGTTTAAAATAATATGGATTATTGTATTACGGAACAGTTTTCGCAGCGAAAACTGGACGAATAATGATGTTTTTCATGGACGGATGTGAAAAGGAAATTAGATGCTGTGGTCCTTATGACCAGAAAGATTGAAAGCAGAACCCGAGGGCGGTAACATATAGTTTTTTCTGAGTAGTTTTAGACACGTAAGCTCAGTACATTAAAGGCGGTGAAAACCTGTGGGGTGAGATAAGGTGTGCCTTTTATAGGGCTAACATTTTATAATTCCCTCTTTTCATTATGAGAACGTACCACTGCTGTACAAGTTGTCTGAAGGAAGCAGACTACTTCATTTACACTCTTATGCAATCTACAGTACGATTTCACCGTCACACACTACGTTTCTCGCTTTTAATCTTGTTTTTATTTTCCAACCAACCTGTTCGATATGATAGGACCGAAAAAAATTCAATGTCCTAGTGATTAATCTCGACTAGGTCACCTCATAATATACAAATTCAACCAACACAACAAGTTAGCAGCTACACAATCAGGACTTCAGTACGTGAAAATCGGATGCTTTCTTGTAATAAAAAACGATAAGTAATTGACTTTAACCTTTAGTATAAATTATATTAGGCCCTAGGCAATCTTATTCCCTTTATTAGAACATATTATGGTTGCACATTTTTCTAAACCTTAAAGTGAATCAAATATTTCAGTTCTGTTTAGTTAAAATACAGGAAATTTATTATGATCAAATCTATTTAAAAAATATATTCGTATATACACAAATTCCTGTTCAGTAACATTTCAGGAACATTACTGTGTTGAGATAAGATGGTGGTTGTAGATGGTCAACAGGAAACCCTAGACCCGGATTTCGTGCTACTTGGCACTCGTCAGCAAGGTGTACCTGTAATCTTGAGGGAACTGGTGCTCTCTGACGGATTCGATCCCGTGTCACTCAGCTTCACAGTCAGAGACGTTACCACTGAGCTATTCGGGCCGTGACTGTGTACTGTGTAGAAATAAATAATAGAAATCATGTGTAAACGCATGAATTAGTCAAGAAAAGCCAATTACAAATGATTATCTATACATTGATATGTTCAAACGAAAAGTAACACAAATCAATAGTGGCAGTAAAATGAACTGGTTACCACGAGAAATTTTTTTTAGCTTCCATTGTATTCACTTCTCTTTAATTTCAGAATTACCAAACAAAACAGTAAGAAAATGTTCATCTCTCTGTGTGTGTGTGTACATGTCGGGTAAATCTCGTTACAATTCAATGTTTACAGAATGCATGTACTAGGCAATGAATGTTAAATATTGATATATGTTTTACACCGTATAACCAAAACACGACGCACCTCCATTCTATCACACTTCGTCGACAGCGGTAATGCAGTGGATAGAACCGAATCATTCAGAACAATATACCGTATACCTACTAGTTTTTCTAATAGGGTTAGATCTCATCACTTACACATAGCAGAAGCTACATGGATTCCAAATAGAAACATAAACCTTTGTATTCATAAGAAATATGTAATGCCCACAACTCATTCTTAGATAAATAAAGCTTAGCAAACGATCTTAATTATTATTAATTTCTACATACTTTGTTCATTTTTTATTCTTCAATCCACTTTACAATATACCCTTATCTGTCTAATTATATGAACGATTCTCATCAAGTAATTTCAATTTTCTATTTTTATTTTATTTAAACACAAAAATATTGGTACAAGTAAGAACCAGATACATAGTTTTCTTAGGGTTCCACACCCGGAGTCTTCGACCTAAAGGTCTGATCCACTAGGCAGTGGAGCATTGTGAGGAGATGCAGTCCCATGGTAGTCGGTGACCAACAATTGGTTCATACGCCATTCGTTCCTTCATGATACGGGAGCCCATGTGCACGATTGGTTTGGAATGAGGGTTTTCCAACTCCCCTAGGTGAACATTTCGTGTTAACTAACCCGGTTAAAGCGTCGGACATTCACTTTTCGTCCTCTCAATTTCGTGAACAAAAGTAATGCCACGAGGAGGCAGTGAGTAGGACTTCCCTGACAGAGGCTATATACGCGTGGCCATGTGAGAGCATTTCGAATGGGAGAGCGTACTCTCCCCACTCTCGGCCGTACCAGGGCATTAGAGGGCAGTAATTTCAATAATTTCTAATGAATGTTATTTCAATGTATATATTTTCCAATTCTTTGATCTATTTCCTACTATAAAATACTGAGTTTTGCCCCCAAATGCCCTGGTACGGCCGAGAGTGGGGAGAGTCACCTCTCCCTCTCGAAATACTCTCATATGGCCAGCGAATATATAGCCTCTGCCAAGGAAGTCCTACTCACTGCCTTCTCGTGTCACGGGTGTTGTTTACGAAAGTGAGAGGAAGAAAAGCGAATGTCCGGCGCTTTAACCGGGTTGGTGGACACGAAGGGTCCACCTAGGGAAGTTGGAAAAACCTGATTCCAAACCAATGGTGCACATGGGCTCCAGTATCCTGATGGAACGAATGGCGGACGAACCTGTCATTGGTCAACGGCTACCATGGGACTGCATCTCCTCACGATGCTCCACTGCCTTGTGGATCAGACATTCAAGTCAAAGGCTCCGGGTGTGGCCCCCTAAGAAAACCACCTGCTTCAGTCTGGGCACCTGGGCAGTATCACAGCCCTCACACAAATCGAATGAGATTTGTGAGGCGCATATTTATCTGGTGCTTCATTGTACCAATATTTATGTGTTTAAATAAATAAATAAAATAAAATAAAATACTGATCCAAGCTTTTAATACACCTTTATTCACACTACCTTTTTGTACATTTTAATTATTGTGTTTAGTTATGTAATCTACTCTGTTTTCACTATTATCTCATAAACTACATTAAGTGGCTAAATATCTCCATATATATTCTCATAAGTATTACCGTGTATTAGAATAAAGCCTGATAAGAATCGAACTAAAAATAATGTTGATCGCATACATATGTTGTCTAAATATTCTACCATACAACATTTTAATTCACTCCTTTAAATAATTGGCTGAAGTTCGGCATGCAAATCATTGGATCTTGGGTTAATGCTTCGAAAATCAAGCATTCACCACAAGACCTGAAGTTCCAGATTCCTATTTCCGGTAGGGTTCAGGATGCCCATTGATAAGGGGTGCAATATTAAGGCGAAACAGGTCTTGTATGCATACTCCTGCTTAATAGTCAAATAAGATCAGTTCATAATGTAAAATATGGGAGTAGTTAACTACATTTTAATCTGTTTGAATATCATGTCTGAGGAACAAATAATGCGTTATCCGATATCTTCAATTGGTCAATCAATATACATATGAATGAAACAACTTAAAAGGGTAAATGGAAAAGCAAGCAAACTTATTAAGAGTAACGGAAAACTGTTAAAAATCACGTATTACATAATCTAAGTACTGAATACGGTCTGTTATATACGCTAAAGAATAACCATTTGACCGATCAATATCTAGCGACCAAAGAAAAATAGGAAAGATAAATAGCCAAATAAAAACTAATCCAAGTTGGCAAATTCAGGGATAAAATGAATCTTTTTTTATTGATGATGATGATGATGATGGCGATAGCTGAATGAAACAATCCAAATAATAGGGACGAATGAATTGATTAATTTGAAATAGTGAAGTGAATCGAATCTACCAATTAATCACAGACAACGTAAAACGTTGCACTGGCAGCTTAAGTTGGTAATGTTGTATCAACAAAGAAAGACAAACTTATCAAGACA